GGAATCTTTTACCAGTTACCAAGGAATTGAAACTGTTTTAATTAGAAAATCAGTTTCGATTGGTTTGAGAAACGTAACTGTTTTAGTTTGGCTAAGCCCAAAAGAGTGGCCCAAAAAGAACAGAAAGCTACGTACTAAAGGGAAATTATTCCTATTGGGTTCTCAAGGCCCAAAATAAGACTATCATTTTTCATTCCCTATAGTTCTAATTTCTACTTAGGACGAGGTAGCACCAAAACAAATGTGAATATTTAAAAGAAAAGTGGTACTATTTTTCCAAAGTCCTGTACATTTTTAAACATCCTAAGGACCAGTACCTTTAGAGCTGGTTGGAAATGAATTAAGGACCGAAGCTTAGTTTAAGAAGGCAGATTTTGTAAAGTACCGGAATCGGAGATTTCCAATTTTAGTACCAAAACTGAGATATCCGTCTTCCATTGCTTTGAGCTTATCAATAATTCATTGCAACAATTGTTAGCCAAAACTAGTTAAGTTCCCCCTGAATGTATGCGTTTCAAAAATAATTAAGATAAAATTATACTTGTGATAAGCATAATTAAGCATAATAAGCACAATTAAAACATAATTAAGCAATGTTTAAACCAATCAAGCAATGTTTAAACAAGAAGGTGTTTTCATCAAAACAAATTAGTGTTTTCACATACTTTCCCCCTGTTTTGATGTAAAGAACCTTCAGTTTCTCTTGCGCTTTGAAGATCCGGCAACTTCACTGATGCCCTTCATGTTCCCACACAGTTCTTTGATGCGTCTTAAATTTTCACGTCTTTCTTCTGACTGAGCATCATTTGAGAAGTGGTCAACAACTGTACCTATAACTTCTGTTCCATCCAGTCCTGAGCTGGATAGAAGTTGTGCTGAGTTTTCTGGATTTCTTTGCTGTGCTTCAAGGATTAGATTTGTCAAGTTCAGATGAGAAGGAATATAAGATACTTCTCCTTCTTTGATTGCAATAGGGAGCTGTGGTATTGGAGATGGACTGTGTTGTTGGAGAATTACTTCCATCTTGCAGTTTCCAGAGTTTGCACCAATAAGTCTGAACAGCTTGTATGCTTCCTTTTGATTGTCAATAATCACCTTCAAGTAGTCTTTGGTCACTACCTGATTTGCAGAAGCTACTGCTAGGGCTGATCTGATGTCCATTTGGAGAAGGGACATCTGTTTTTGGAGACTAATTGTGACACTCTCTATTTGCTCTTTGACTTTGTTGATCTCTTTGAGATGAAGTTGACTGTCAGAGGCATATATTTCCATCGTGTTGCTCACAGTTTCACTCAATAGAGAGATAATCTCCAGAGTCTTCTGCACTGATTTGCTTATTTCTTTGAGATCTGCGCTGTGTTTTCCTTCAGATTTCTCTATTAGCTGGGTGTGCCTGACTTCCAT